CCCCCCGGGCCCCCCGGCAGCGCCGGGCACGCTTGGGCTCCCCCCGGCCCCTGGGGGCTCTCGCCGTCTGTGCCAGGAACCTCCGACGGTGCCGGTCTGGCCACCTGCAAAGCAAAGAAGTTGGCCAAATACAGTGCAATTCCCCCCAGACTTCATCCCCTCAGTCGCTTTGAGCCAGGCACAGGCCGAGGTCCTTCATCACGTCTTGTTCTGTGCTTGGCCCATTGCAGTCCTGCTCCTAGCCCCTCAAGCACAGCGCAAATTGCATCAGCACTCGCTCCTCCAAAGCCTCTGCCACGTCCTCGCCCAAACGCAGCCCTGGGAATGGGAAGGAGCTGCCCCCGCTGCTCCTGGCGTGGCTCTGAGTGGCCTGGTGGGAGCAGCTTCTCCCCCAGCCCTGTGCCAGAACCAAATCCCTCCAGCAGCCACGGGCACCCTGTCCTGCCCACGCGGCTGCACGAGGACCCGTGGGACGCGGCGCACGGAGGCCACACGACACGCGCGGCTCTGACGCGCTCCCCGGCGCTGCGCGGTGGCTGCGCTCGCCTGGAAAGGCATTTTTCCGTGGTTACCTAACCATGACTCAGTTATCTTGTTTTCATTGATGATGGTGCCTCTGCGCCTTAGGATTACTAATGGAAACTGGCGCTTCCCCAGCAATTATCCGATTTACTCTTGGGTGCCCTAAATAAACTCGCTGCTGCCTTGCTTTATTTTTAACCATGTAAAGAGGTTTCCTGTTTTCCATGATGCTCTGGCTTATTCATGGCTCTATTTCTGTTCTCTCTATCTGTCTCCTAAACCTCTTACGAGGGGGACACCGTGGAGCTGGTTATAGAAACCTCCCAAAGCCTCGGAGGGAAATGACCACAAGGCCCCAGTTTAGCTCCTGCTGCTCCCCGTCCACAGACACGCTCGGTGCCGGGTGCTCACGAGGCCCCGTCGCAGGAGCTTCTTGTCCCGCTGGAACCCCGCGGCTGCTCAGCAGCAGGGCCGGTCTCCGCGCCCGGGGCTCACGCGGCGTTTGCAGGGCTCGGGCCCCGTCTCGGCTGCTCTGCG